TTGTTTGAAATAAAGAAAAAGATTCTGCCGTGCGGCCACGCCCAGCCCTGTTTGTCCAGTGTTTCTAAGTGCCAGGCCTGGGGTGAAAGGCTCAGTGGCTTCATGTCACACGATCCCTGGGACACCAGAGGGCGGCTCAGAGATGGCCCAGCGTGTGGTGTCTGAGAGACTGACTGGGACTCTGGGTGGTGGTGCCCCTCTCTGAGCCTCAGTTTCCTCATCTGTTAAATGGGCATAATGGTCGTCCCACCTCAGGGGGGAGTGGGGAGGGTTCTATGACAAGATGTGGGTCAAGTGCACAGAAGGGTACCGGGCTCAGGAGGGGCCGGAGGGCCTCCAGTCCTGCTCTACAGACCAGACTCCCAGGGCCCCTGGCAGCAGTGGCCACTCCGGGCTTTGCTCCCAGGCCTGGGACTTCACAGGGATGGACGCTGGGACGGAGTCTATAGGGAGAAGCCAGCTCGGAGTGGGGGGGGGCTGTGGGTGGAACCCCCTTCTGAGCAGGGTGCCCTGGGCCGGGGTCTTCGTTCTGGCTGATGAGTGGCCCGGTGGCGGCCATGACAGCCCCCCCGAGGTCAGAAGGGTGGCTGGTGTACCCAGTTTCACCCCCTGGGCCCTTTGTTGGGGTGGGGGGTGATTGGGCAACCCTCCCAGGCCCACCCTGGAGAGTCTTGAAATTTTATTCTTTAAAAAATATAATGCGTGCTCCCTATAACTGCTTGACATTTGAACGCGGTGGCCTCAGTTTCTCCCACGGGGCATGGCTGCCGCCTGCCTGTCCTGGTTCCCGTGGTGGGCCTCTGTCTTTGCCACGCTGGCTCCTTCCTGGCTGCTGAGGGCTGCATTGCACGTCCGACCACAGCCCACCAGCCAGGCCGACGTCGGGGCGTATTGGGGTGGCTCCCCTCCCTGTCCCCCTGGGAGTGTTGAGCGTGCAGGGCTGTGGGAGGAGGGAGAGAAGCCCAGGCCGGAGGCCACAGCAGTCAGTGGCATGAGGAGCCACAGAAGCTGCCTCCGAGGGCCGATAGGTGTCTCGGGCCCCAAGCCACCACTGTGTCCGGAATGCTGTCCCTGCGTCATTGGCCAGACCTTAAATCCCAAGGGGCCTTGGCTCCCGGGGCCCAGGGTGGCCGGCAGCCCCCAGCCCACTCCCCCTTCCCTTCCAGCCAGCCTCTTCCTGCCTCTGCAAACCTCGCCCGGGTGGCTTGGTACCTTCCGGCTGCTCAAGGAGGCAGACTCACCCCTCCTTTGTCTCAGCCCCGAAGGGAGCATCTGATGTGCCTGGCGTGGGACAAGGTGTCCACCTCCTGTCCATGACATCGAGGCCGGGGTCTCACCGCCATAGCCCACCCTGTGCTCCCAGCCCTTTCTGCTCCTGCTCAGCCCAGCGATGGCTCCCAGCCTTGGCTTCCCCTTGAGGCCCAGACCCACTAAGGAGGCTCGGGGGGCAGGCGGGGTCCCTGCCACCGTCTTCTCCCCTCTCCCGTTTCCATATATCACAGGTGCTCCTCCGTCTCCCCGTTTCACAGAGGAGGTTATGGCTGGTGGCTAAGCCATGCTGGGCAGGGGCCTGACTCCTGACTAGAGCTCTTTCCCCGGGGCTGCTGCAGGCACAGGGAACACGCCTGGTCATCCTCACACTCACTGAATGGTCACCTTGATGAAAAGTCCCAGGACTGTGCCAGCTAGACCCCGTTTCTGTGCCTGGGCTGGAGACTGGCTAGCCAACCCAAGGCCACCCTGGGGCCCCAACTGAGCCGAGCTGCTTTCACCAAGTACAGTATCCTGCCCTCCACCCGCCACAACTCTGCCTCAATTTCCCTGGGTTCCTAGGCGGCCCCCTGGGCATGGTTTCCCATTACCACTAGAGGGCGGTCGAGGCTGCGAAGCCCTGTAGGAGATGGAAACGAGGTCCGGTGCTGCCACCTTGAGGCCAACTCTCGCATTGCACCTTCTCTGGGCAATCTTCATTATCCAGGGGCTCCATTTGCCCTTCTGTAAAATGGGTTTAGCACTCAAGGGTCTGAAGATGGGCAAGTAGAAAAAGCCACACCTCCCAGGGATAAAGGGCTCAAGCCAGTAAACCCTGCCCCATCTCGGTCATGTTCAAGTTCCCTATGGCCTTGATGGTAGCAGAAGGCCTGAGGTGGGAACCCTGCCACTGCTCCCTGTGACCTTGGGCAAGCCCCATCCTTGCTCATCCTCCAACAAGCCCTTGGAGGTCAGCTAACCTCCATGGGGTTGGCACCATCAGAGTCAATGCTCCCAGGAGTCAACATGTGAGGGGCGTTTTTATGCAGCCAGGGGGTCTGCTGTCTGTTCTCAGAACACACTCCCTGCTCTGTTCCCAGCCAGGTTCCCAGAGCTCACGGTCAAGAGCTTCAGGGAGCAAAAATGGGAGCGAGTCCTGAGAGCAGCGAGAGCTCTCCTTCCTGGGCGTCAGGAGGGCTCCAGTCAGAGCTTCTTTGATTTTATTTTATTTTTTAAAATATATTTTTATTGCCCTAACCGGTTTGGCTCAGTGGATAGAGCGTCGGCCTGCGGACTGAAAGGTCCCGGGTTTGATTCCAGTCAAGGGCATGTACCTTGGTTTCGGGCACATCCCCAGTAGGGAGTGTGCAGGAGGCAGCTGATCTATGTTTCTCTCTCATCGATGTTTCTAACTCTCTATTCCTCTCCCTTCCTCTCTGTAAAAAATCAATAAAATATATTTAACAAATATATTTTTATTGATTTCAGAGAGGAAGGGAGAGGGAGAGGGAGAGAGAGAAACATCAATGATAAGAGAGAATCATCGATGGGCTGCCTCCTGCACATCTCCAGCCCACAGTCTGGGCATGTGCCCTGCCTGGGAATTGAACCATGACCTCCTGGTTCTTGGATTGATGCTTAACCACTGAGCACTCCAGCCAGGCAGTTTTTCTTTATTTTAAATAAAAATTCAGATCACACAGGAGCTCCTCAAGCGTTAACCTGTTTCAGATTAGACACTGTTCTCCCTCATCATTGTTGATGATGGGGTAGAATTCCATCACACAGTGTTCCATTGGATGACTGTTCCCTGGTTAATGTAACCGGCCGAGCAGGAAGGATTTTGTTGGGCGGCAGTGTCTAGCGGGGAGCAGGTGTTGTAGTGGCCTGAATAATGCCCCCAGATATATCCAGGTCCTAACCCTGGAACCTTGAAAGTTACCTCATGTGGCAAAAGGGAATTTTAGATGGAATTAAATTCACGACTTTGAGATGGAGCGAGCTTCCTGAATTGCCTGTTCCTCAAATGTAACCACAGGTGTCCTTAGAAGAGGGAGACTTGACTGCAGAGGCAAGAGGCTGGGGTCCTGGGAGGAGGAGGGCAGAAGCCCAGCGTGCAGGCCCCTCCAGAAGCCGGGAGAGGCGAGGCATCGGCTTCTCCTCGGAGAGAACGGAGGCTCCGGCAGGAACCACCTGCGGACGGACACCCTGCTTTCCGCCAGGAAAACTGCTGGTGGACGCCTGGCCGCTAGCACCGTCAGAGAGCGCATGTGTGTTGTTTTAAGAACCACGTTTGTGGTGATTTGTAACGGCAGCCATAGGCTCCGAACACAAACGGCACCTGGCAAGAGAAACCGCTACAGCTGTGGTTCTCAACCTTGGCTGCACATTAGAATCACCTGGGAATCTTTTTAAAATCCTGATTTCTGGGCCTCATCCTCCGGAAATTCTTTCTTTGTTACTCATGTTGTGGCCTCACCCCAATAACAAAGACACAGAATTTCCGGAGGATGAGGCCCAGAAATCAGGATTTTAAAAAGATTCCCAGGTGATTCTCATGTGCAGCCCAGGTTGAGAACCACTGCGCTACAGCAACCTGACCCCGACCGACCCTGGATGGGCCAGTCCCCGCCCGGTCAGTGTCCTCTGGAAAGTGAGGGGTGGGGCTCCTCGGCCGGCCTCTCTCCTCAGCCTCCAAACTGCTGTGGGGACATAAGTGCCTCCTGGGCCACAGGGGCTGAGCCGGTGGGGACAGCAAGTGGTCAAAAGTGGCCGTCCCTTTGCGGCCACTACCTGGCCGAGAGCCAAGAGCAGGAGGCCTGGGTCTATCTTGCTCCCCCGGGGGACTGGGCCGGGCCTCTGGCTCTCACTCGCCTCAGTTTCCTCGTTCTCGGTTCCTCCCTGTCCTACTGCGTCACCCCCCCTTCTGCCGGCCCTTCCATCCAGCCCTGGCTGGCCTCTCCGGCCACGGTGACTGGGCCTCGCTGGTCTGCCCCAGCTTCCTCGTCCACCCCGGAGGCCAGGGAGCAAGGTCCACACCTGGGCGGCGGGGCCGGGCTCAGGGCTGCTGGTCCTCTCACCCTTCCCCTCCATTCCAGCCCGATCAGACCGGTGAGATGGGGCAGCCCAGCCAGGAGCTGAGGTTGAGAACATGGCCTCAGAGTCAGCAAAGCTGGTTTGACTCAGCTCAGCATTCTCCCAGCATGAACCTGGAGGAGTCCTTCCCTCTGAGCTGTAAGGAAGGTTCTGGGCCCCTCTTGCTCGTGAGGAAACTGAGGCTCAGAGGGCATGAGATCTGCCCACGACCCCACTGCCACGGTGCCAGGATTGACTCACAGGTGCCCCCCCCCCAGGTTCTCTGCAGCCGCCTGGCACGGGAGAGCAGCCAGGGGCCAGAGGCCCCTCGGGGAAGGTCCAAGAAGTGGACATGGCACCGTCCCAGCCCCCGTGCAGCCCCCCGCCTTCACCCCCAGGCATGCAGCACACGGAGGGACGGATGGACGGAGGGACGTGGTGGCGGAATTACCTCCTAGAACTGCCAGGGGCTAACCCAGCTGGTGCTCCATAAATGGCATTCCCCGGAATTAGAGGTGACCTTTCACCTCTAGCTTCCGGAAGGAGGTTGACGTGGCTCCTCCACCCCCAGCCACCCCACTGGCTGGACTTCCTTTCAGATGCCAGAGATCCCAGGCCCATGTGAGGCGCCTCACTGGGAGGCTGGAATGAAGAGCATTTCGGGGGAAATGACTCCGTGTGTCTGGAATCCTGGAGGGGAGGGAGCTGGGAGACGAAACTGCTTATTAAGGACCAGACATTTCCACTCAGTCTCCTCTGACTTTCCAACAGGCAGATCTGGAGGTCAGGCCTGCAGTGCGGCTCGCTGGGCTCAGCTCCAGGTGTCAGCGAGCAGCCTTCCTCCTGGACGCTCCAGGGTGGAATCTGTGCCTGGCCTTTTCCAGCTCCGAGAGGCGCCTGCAACCCTGCACTTGTGGCCCCGTCTCCGTCCTCAAAGCCAGGGACCTGGGCAGAGTCCTTGCCTCACCTCTCTGCCCTCTCCCCGCCTCCCTCTCCCACCCAAAGATCTTGTGATTCCTCGGGGCCACTCAGGTAACCCAGGCTCATCCCCCTATTTTAAGGTCAGCTGATCAGCAACCTTAACTCCACCTGCAGCCTTACTGCCCTTGGCCAGGGGGCGTCATTCTGCCTACCACACCATGAGACGTCTGGATGGGTTTCCGTCAACCAGTAACTGCTCATTATGCACCAAGTGGGTGCCCAGCACCTGCTGGGAACAGCAGTGAAGAAAGCCAACACCCAACTCTCACGGAGGAGACAGACGCCAAACCAAGGAGTGAGAGAAAGCAAGCAGTAGAGTTGGTGGTGAGCAACCAGGGAGAAAGCTAAAAGGACGTGGGGCTGGTTGGGTGGGGGAACAGGTTACATTTAAACAGTTGTTTTTGATTTTTTTTTTAGAGAGAGGAAGGGAAAGGGAGAAAAACATTGATCAGCTGCCTCCTGAACACCTCCTACTGGGGATCGAGCCCGAAACCCAGGAATGTGCCCTGACTGGGAATCCAGCTATGCGAACCATGACCTCCTGGTTCATAGGTCGATGCTCAACCACTGAGCCACACCGGCAGGGCCAAAAGGTTACCATTTTATTTTATTTTATTATTTAAAAAAATATGGAACGCTTCACGAATTTGCGTGTCATCCTTGCGCAGAGGCCATGCTAATCTCTGTATCGTTCGAATTTTAGTCTCTGTGCTGCCGAAGCGAGCACCAGGAGGTTACCATTTTAAATAGGGAGCTGAGGGAAGGCGTGGTGAGAAGGGGACATGCGAGGAGACGGAGGGATGAAGGAGACGCCTGGAGAAGGCAGGCTTGGTGGGCTCAGAGCTTTGGCCACGTCAGAGCAGCTCCCAAGGTTAACTTCTGAGCTTGAGAGAATTGAGGATAGCGGGTTGGGGGCGGGCACCAATTTGCCAATGATTGGGAAATGATTTATGCCTGTAACCCTGACAACAGCTGAGGCAAATGGCATATTAGTTTCCTAGGACTGACAACTCACCACCAAGTCGGGGCCTAAAACAACAGAAAGCCCTTCTCTCATAGCTCAGGAGCTGCAGTCTGAAATGCAGGTGTCGGCAGGCCGGTGGCCGCCAGCACGGATCCTTCCTGAAGATGCACCGCTCCGACCTCTGCCTGTCGTCACGTGGCGTTCTCGGTGTCTCCGCGTCTGTGTCGGAATTTCCCTCTTCTATGACACCAGTCACTGGGTTTGGGGCCCACCCTAGTAAGGTATGACCTCATCTTCACTGGGATACTTTGCAAACCTCTAGTTCCAAATAAAGCCACATTCTGAGGCTCCCAGTGGACACACATTGGGAAACAGATGCTAAATCAAGGAGAGCAAGACACACTCTCCACCCCGTACGAGTGCCATGTGCCAGTTCACCCACGGGCACACTTCCGTGCCTCCCCACAGCCTCTCGCCACTGTCCCCGACCCACGGCACCCAGGCTATCGGGGTCAGAGCGTGGACTGTTATTTAATACGCATTTTATTGAATACTTTGTGCATCGGGCACTCTCTTAGGGCTGCAAATACAACCCCGCCCCCAGTGGCTCATCCTCTCCTGGGGTGACAGGCAGAAAGCAAATAAAGCCAGGTGGGGCCGCCAACACCTCCAAGCAGGAGACGGGCAGGAACCAGGAACCGACTGGAGGCTGGGGAGGGGCAGCCATGAGGGGAAGCAGGTGGTGGCTGGAGCCGCTTCAAGCAGGAGGGAGTGGCCAGCTCTGCAGGAGAGGGGCTGAGCCGGAGGACTGAGGGGACCGCCAGTGGCCCTCAAAGCACCCCAAATCCAACGAACACACATTTTAAAGGAGGTGCATCTCTGAAAAACATGGAGGGGGGGTGTTGGCTTTCTTGTTTTTTATGATGAAAAAATTGGGCTCATTTTCTAACATGGAAACACCCCCACACCACCCAAGCCCAGATCAGAAAAATCATGCTCTGTCATCGGCTTTCAAACAACTTTATTAGAGGCTGTTTTAAATGACAACTCCCAATTCTTCTTAATTTGCTTTTTCACAAATTCCAGTTAGAACTATGTTTATACAGGACAGTAATTTTTGCATTGATCTTTGCGTCCTATTTAAACTGCCCATCAGGCCATTCTGGTAGAATGAAAAGTGCAACTGTGAGGCTGCAGGTTGACCAGCACTACTGAGCAGAGGCGGCGGGGGGAGGGAGGGGGGCGCGGGGGCTGCGAGGGAGAAGCCCACTTCACAGGTGGGGCGGGCGCTGCCACCCTCTCCTCTAGCCCCCCAAACTCACAGTGATAGGCACCTCGCTGCCTTGTCATTCAGAAAGGGTGAAATAGAGACCCTCCCGGTCCGAAAAAGGGTTTGGACTTCCATCTTCAACGGAATTGAGGTTTCTCCCACCCTTCCCATCCCCCATTGAACACTCAGGTCCTAAGGCTCCCCGTGTGCACGCGCGTCTCCCCAACCGGCCAAGGACCCTCTCTGGGACCAGGGCCCCCCCTCCGCTCCTGGCCCCTTTCCTGTCCTTGGACAGATGCGACGCCGACGCCGGTGTGGGCAGTGGCAGGAGGGCCACTCCCACTTCCTCTCCTCACCCCACCTCTTGGGTGTGGGAAGGTACAATCAACCATGAACATAAATATGAATAAAAAATGAACTTGAAAATGACAGGTTATTAATTAAACAAATCTATAAAAATAGTTAGGACATAACTCTGTTCAAATAAATACGAAATAAATAGGCTCGGAGCAGTGATCCGTGGCATCAGTGGAATGTGAGGCTGGTCCCACCGCCCCAGCTGGGATTGGACATGAATCCCGAGGCCTCAGGAACAGACTTTAATGCATCAACCAACCTCTCTACTCGCTTTGTCTTCCCTCCGGAAGCTCAGGGCTTGCACATTTGTCCAGTCTGTCTTTCTGAACAAAACCCTTTCCTTAAAAATACCTAATTAAGGCCCTCAAGCCCTTTTCCTTCTCGGGGCACGCAGACACGGGGCAGAAACCTCCCGTTACCCCACACCCCACTGCCTCATGCCAGAACAGGGACAGGGAGCTGGATCTGAGCTGGTGCCAGTCCCGACAGAGCCCGGAGCCAGCTCAGAGCACCAGGAGGCCCCAGCAGTGCAGGGCAGAGGCCTCTGGGCTCCGGGGAAGCCATGCACCCGGTGCCAGGCAGCCAACGGTGGGGCGGGGCCTTGCCCCTGCATGCATCGGCGCCCCTCTGCTGGTGAGCGCAGAGGGGGGTGGGCACACTCCCAGGCTCCTCCTTTCCCTGCACAACCTAGCCGGGTGTGAGGTCAGGTGGAAGCACCTTTCCCCCGCGGACTGAGGGGGAGGAGCAGGCGGGCATGGGAGTGGGCTGGTGGCCCTCCTCCTACCATATTCAAACAGCAGTGAGGAAGAGCAAAGTGGGCACAGGGCAGATGCCCAGCAGGCCAGAGGGCAGGGGCCCATGGCCCACGGTCTGGGTGGGAAGAGGAGATGGAAGAACTAAGCCGCCTCCAAGCCCTGCTGTCTGGCAGGCCCTGCAGGAAACGTCCGGTCTCTACTGAGCATCAGCCTGAGTCCTGCTGACCCCTGGACCCGAGGGATACCCACGGGCCTTCCCTGGAATGGACATGAGGGTGGGCCATGGTCAGCAGGACAAGCCCAGTGGGCCTGCCAGCTCCCCCCACCCTCCCTGCGGTGCGTCCCAGGGGTTTCACAGCTTGGCTTAAGTCAGCTTAGTGTCGGCACATTCACAGAATGAGATGGCTACACATCCCAGGGCTGCAGCCCAGGATCAGGAGTCCGCCGGGCGGGGCTGTCCTCCCTCCCGTCACCGAGACTGCACGCCCAGGGTGATCTTCAGGTTCTCGTACACCACATAGCTGATGCTCACGGCTGGGATCACCTTCATGAAGTTGGGGGCCAGCCCTCGGTACAGGCCAAAGGCTCCCTCGGTCCGCAGGATCTGTTTGAAGAGGCTGCTCATGGTCACCTCTGGAGCGCCCTCAATGGAGGCTGCAGAAATAAGAAAGGTCGTCCATCAGAGGCCTTTCACCGGCTCCTCCCTGGATCCCAATCTGCCCAGGGAGATGGGCCCCTGGGGACCGGCCTAGGACCAGCCTTACCTTGGGCCTGCATCCGGGTCCTGACCAGGGCCAGTGGATAGCTGGCCAGCTGGCCACAGGTGCTGGACATGGTGCCACAGGCCAGGAGCACAAACACTCCAGGGTCTGCGCTGTTCACGGCATAGCGCTGCAGCCAAGCATTCTTGAGTGTCTGCAAGGGGAAGGGTGCAGGGATGAGCCAATGTGCCAGCGAGAGCTTGCGAGGCCGTGAGAGGCCGGAGTGAGGGGGGGAGAGTGACGACAACATTACTGGGCCCATCGCATGACTCTGTGAGGCCACTGTAACCCGATTCGCTTGGCCGGGGCTGGCTGAGCTCCTGGCCCGCCTGCCTTTGTTTCTGCTGTCCCTGGGGATTCCTGGCTCAGACAGGAATGGGGATGAGGCAGAGGCAGCACGGCCTCGCCCCCCAGAGAAACTGACTTCTGTCGCCTGGAGTCTGCAGGGGCCCAATGAGCCCCCAGGGCACCGTGCTATCGAGATCTGCCTGCCAGGCACCTGGGGCGGAACTCGGGGCTGCAGGGGACCCTTGCAATGAGTCTGAGTGGATGGGACGCTCTTTGGTGCCGTCCCTGTGCCACCATCCCCAGCGGTTGTCAGGCATGGAGACAACGGGCGGGGACGTGTGAGGAGGGGTTTCTGAATCTCTCCTGCCAGTTCCAGGGGCCTGAGCCTCTAGCGCCTCACCTCGTAGACAGCCAGGTCGATCCCAGCGTAGGGGATGATGCCCAGCATGTTGGGAACGTAGCCTTTGTAGAAGGCGGCCATCCCCTCTCTGGCCAGGATCTTCCTGGCACAGTCCAGCATGCCCGAGTACTGGCCTGTCTTGCGCAGGGCCATCCGGGTCTTCAGAACCTGCAGAACCCAACAGAAGCGACAGAGTGTGAGCACGGCCCACCCCTCAGCCTCATCCCCACGTGCACTGCCCGCCCCATTGCACCTTGGTCCGCCCCAGGACCAAGGGGGCCCCTCACCTCCATCGGGTAGATGCTGCTCTGAGCGATGGCCCCGGCCAAGGACCCTGCCACAAGTCTCTCGTGAATCCTTAGAGTCTCCTGGTCACTCCCAACGAGACGCTTGATCTATAACAGGGAGCAAACAAACCGATATACCCGAGACCAGCGCACCCCCTCCTGCCCCACCTTCCTCACGGGGCCAGTCAGACTTAGCCCAGACATGGTGTCCCTGGCCCATGTGACGCTTCCCAGAAATAGAAGGAAATGGCCCACAGTGGAAATGGCAGCAGAGACGGGGTCAGACCCAGGCCTCTCCCCCCCTCCCTCACCCGCTGCCCCTTTGCCAATTGACAACACTACCTGGGGGGCGGGTCCTCACCTGCTCGTAGGCCATGAATTTGATGGCCGATTCGGGGGCAATTTTGATGACGTTGATGCCGTTGCCCCGCCAGAGCGACCTGGCCCCTCCCTCTCGGATCATCTGGGTGAACCCGCCCACGATGCACATATTGTTGCTGCGGGAGGCGTGGACCTGGAGAGGGAAGGACGGGGTCAGAGAGAACTCGGCCGTCATCCGACACAGCCTTTTCTCCATGGCCAACGGTCACGGTGGGCAGGCAGGCTCTTTCCTCTCGGATTCTGAAGACTAACTCAGCACTGAGAACCAAACAGCCATTCTAGGCCCAGCTACATCTGCCCATGCCACACCTACTGTGTGCCAACACTGTGCTAAACACCTCCACAAGGACCACTTTTTAAAATTTAAAAGATTGAACTGCCCTGGCCGGGTGGCTCAGTTGGTTGGAGCGTCGTCCCGTATACCAAAAGGTTGCGGGTTCGATTCCTGGTCAGGGTGCATACCTAGGTTGCAGGTTCAATCCCTGGTTGGGGCAATTGAACTGCCCTGGCCGGGCAGCTCAGTTGGTTGGAGCGTCGTCCCGTATACCAAAAGGTTGCGGGTTCGATTCCTGGTCAGGGTGCATACCTAGGTTGCAGGTTCAATCCCTGGTTGGGGCACATAGGGAAGGCAACCCATCGATGTTTCTCACATCGATGTTCTCTTCCGTCTCTCACTCTTCTGCTCTAAGAGCAATAAAAACATCCTTGGGTAAGGATTTAGAAGAAAAAAAGATCGAGCTTGAGCTTTTTATTATGGAAAAATTTCAAATATGTACAACAGTGCAGAGAATTATATGAGCTCCCATGAACCCTTGATCAGCTTCTACAAGCATGCAACCACAGCCAATCCGTTCCCCGCACTGCCCCGCCCCTGCTGGGTTACTTTAAGGTACCCACCCTTGGGTAAGGATTTAGAAGAAAAAAAGATCGAGCCTGAGCTTTTTATTATGGAAACATTTCAAATATGTACAACAGTGCAGAGAATTATATAATGAGCTCCCATGAACCCTTGATCAGCTTCCACATGCATGCAACCACAGCCAATCCGTTCCCCACACTGCCCCGCCCCTGCTGGGTTACTTTAAGGTACCCAACAGGATTGTGTCATTTCACCCAAGTGAAATGCTTCCAGTATCTACAGCATCCCTGGGGATTCGTGAAGAACCCTGACAAGGAGGCAATGTGTCTCAAGCCTCTTCGGCTCAGAGCAATGAAGTCCTGGGGCCACGTGACTTGCCCGAGGTCACACAGCTCTAGGCCTAGATGGGGTCAGATTCCAGGCCTAGAGCTCTTCTCCCCGAACCACTCCACTTCCCTGTTTCAGTCACATTATTCATCAACAGACTCCAAACCCAGGCAGCCCAGGAGGGCAAAGGGGGAGGGAGAGGATGACGTCTTCTCTGAGCAGGAAGGTGCCAGAACAAACAAGGGGACAAGGAGCGACTGGCCACCGTTCAGAAGACGCCAAAGTCCAACAGGGAATGCTGTGCAGGTTGATGTTGAAACCCTGCCCCTGACGTTGGTCTAGCTTATCTCTGTCCTAGTGGAGTCAGGCCTCTGGCCATAATGGGGTCTGGGCCAAGTGACCATCTGCTCACACCTTCCCCCATGCGACACCTACACAAGAATCCTACAGAAAGGTTCCTGCCACCCCCATCCTCACTACTTTACCAGTCCACATTACAGCCCTATAATGTGACCCCTGGCTCAGGGCCTCCAATAAAATTAGATCAGCTACGTGCATTGCCCAGGCCTGGATCTAATGTTGCCCTCGTCTGAGCAAGAATTCCAATCTAATTTATTGGGATAGAAAAAATATGGGTGCAAAGAGGGCCCCAGACAAGGGAGGGGAGACCAGCCCACCAAAGCAGCCCAGGGGTGGAACTAGAGGTTTGGGGCCCATTTCTCTGCGTACCTGCATGAGCACCTTGAGTCTGTCCAGGGGGGCCGTGCAGGTTCTGGATACGGCCCCGGCCCCACCTCCAGCCACGAGGTGTCTCCACCACATCCCCGTCTGCCTCTCCTCCACGGTGAACTCATCGGGAACTGTCAGATTCTCTCCCACATCAAAGATCTGCAGGGAAGACCAACAGAGATCAAACAAGCAGGCCCTGACGCGTGTGGCCAAGCTGCTGCTGGACAGCAGGCCCATAACCTTCCACCGTCTAGAAGGGGCCACCCAGGGGGTGAGATTGCCAAGGACTCTGGGTAGGAAA